GAGTTGGGAGGGTGGAGGGGTCTCCTCTCAATTAGGGGGGGTAGGTGTGTGTGGGGGGGGGGGGATAAGCTGCTGCTCCGGAGCGGCCTTTTCGAGCCATGTTTGGAGCTATTTGGTGGGATCCACGCACAGCGCTGGAGAGCTTCTCTCCTCTCTGCCATTTGTTGACAAAGCAGAAGTCAAACGGCGTTACGTAACGGCCCTTTCTCTCCGTCCATAGTACAGCTGAGTATGCGATGAGAGCTCTTCTGTGCTAACATAGCTCACTTTTAAGGCGGCCTCTGACTGCAGCACACAGACCCCCTGCGTGACATACATCATAGTTCGACTTGGTACCACCCTGCCTTTGTTTAGTTTTTTTTCGCTGCAGCCTGCTTCAGATAAAGTGATTGTTGCTCCAGTCTACTGGATATGACACTGAAATATTGGATCATAAAGCAATTCAGGGAGGGAAAAAAATCAATTTTCATAAAGCATGAGCTGTATCTATATCCAATTTGTTGGACATTATCCAGTTTGTTTTTCCCACCACTGATAAGATGGAAGTTTCTCTGATGATTCTCAGATCACAGCCACATTAAAGCATCCTTTGAATGTTTTATTTATTAAGAGTTTAATCTTAAAGTCTTTTAAATTATTCTTCAAAGTAAGTTACAATCTTTCTCCTTCTCCTTGTTATAAGGTGTGGTCAGGCACATAACTTTAGTCTGGGCTTTATTTAAGAGAAAAATCTAAGTTCTGTAATTTCCTGGAATGAAAATTGATACATTTACAGATAAAAGCACAAATAACAGCTAATATAAAAACACTGGTTTCATCATGTTCAAACAACATACTTAAGTGCTGTAACTGAAATATTATTCCATAACACAGGAATAGTCAAAAATCTTTGTAAAAACACTTACTTGCTGAGAAGATTGATACCACTTTAAATGCCGGACGGTTAGCCAATTAGCATGTTTAGCATGAACTGGAACAGGGGAAATTTTAAAAATACAACAACCAACAGCTCTAAAGTTTACCATCACGTTTGATCTCTTGAGCCGTTTCCTCTTGCTTCCAGTCTTTATGCTAAGCTAAGCTAATCAACACTTTTTCTGTCTTTTATGTCATTATAAACTGAATATCTTTGGCTTTTAAACTGATCGTTTGTATTTGAAGATGTCACCTTGGGTTCTGAAAGCTTTTTGTAAGAATAAAACCGATGAATCCGTTTAAAAAGTTGAATTCATTCGTAATTGATAATGAAAATAATTCTTAGTTTCAGGTCTAATATATTTAAAACTGTAGTATCTACACACATGCTCCTGTTATCTTACAATTCTTATACTAAGATTTTGATGTGATAAATCTAATCACAGTCAGTCCAGGCAAATTGCAGCAATTAAAACAAATTCAACCAATTACCGCAACTTTTCCGCAAATTGGACAAATCATTTACCAATCAGAGCAGTCCCCCGCACAAAACCTTGAGCCATATGTCACCAAACTAGTAGTAATACACACACTACACTACAAAGACACTTCACATAAGTGATTTTGTTCTCACTATAACATGCTGCTTTTGATTTCTAATGAATTACACAATAAAAAAAATAACTGGTAGCACCAAAAAAAACTAAAAACATCATAATTTTGTTTAGATAACCAGCCATGAAATCAGGCATCTTAGGACGCAACAATCCCCAAAAAGCCAGTGAAATCCTGGAGGGACTTAATAACATGCAGTCAATAATAGTCATTGCAGTAATTTGTCACGTTGACTGAGGTATTAAGACCTTATGGACGGTTGAGTCATCCAGTGGCAAATTCCAGCCGTCCTCTAGTGGTCTGTCTGTCTCTCATCTACTGGCCCTGCTGGACCATTTGGAGGGGGTAGGAGGATTTTATGTGGCGGTCTGCACAGTTGTTGAGTGGGTGCCACATTCCCAGGTGGCATGTGGTGACAAGTCCATCTGGGCACGCCTGTTGTCAAAAACAAACAGACCCCCTACATAGCGAGGGTCAAGGTCAAAGCTGGGACCGTCCCGCCGAGACGAGTTCCTCAAAGCTCAGCCAGAAGCCTCAGGAGGCTTCAGAGGGGACCTGGTGTTCGTGGACTTAAGGACTCGCTGTGCACATCATCAAGTAGGTTAACGCGCCTCCCTAGATCCGCAGTGATGCTCTGGGATGATCGTAGCCTTTTGGGAGTTGCTTGTTTGGAAAGGTATTTTAGTTACACCCGAGAGCATTCAATTGGAGATCTCTGTGTGTGAGGACTGTGAACTGCAGATGGGGATGAATCATCTTTCTCTGCTGCGTATTCCTGCTTTTAGGTAATCACACAGGTTTGAGCTGAGAGGGTGTTTCATTAGCTGTAATTTCCTGGAATCTCTGACTGATCATTTTAGTGCATGAATAACACCTGCACTGTTAGAAATGGTTACAAATACAAGGTCCCTCAGGGTTTGCCAATTCGGATTCCCGAGAGACCATCAGAGGACGAGTGGGCCCTTACAGCTGCACTTTGTTGCAGTTCTTCCTCATTTTTAAGGAAACCACCAAAATTTTGTTTGATCAAGACTGCTGGTTTAATCTAACAGTGTCAGGTAACAATGCGTCAGTTCACCAAGAAACTAGGGCTGCACAGTTAATCGAGATATCGTCCAAATCGCAGATGCTGCAGTTTTTGGATAAAGGTAAATTATATGACAAAACTGTGTTGTAATGAAGAACTGTATTGAGTACAGACCCCCCAAAAATGTCATATCATCATGATTTTTTCATGTAAAAATTATAATTCCCACACTAATCTTGAATCATATCACAATATCTGTCAAAATAATTGCAGTATGATGTTTTTTCTATATCGTGCAGCCCTACAAGAAACCTCAGTGGAGAGTCAGTTTAAAACTATAAAAAGCTTCTTGGTTTAACTCACTATCTGCTGAACTTTGAGCTCAACGCTTTAACTACATATCCATTCACTTTTGCCTCACAGATTAGCCACATTTACCCCATTAGTGAAGGAGAGACGTCTAAAAGCTTCCTAGATTATAAGGAGTAATGGTGCATTCAGGTAAATTGCAGTTTTACAGGAGTTTGACTGATAAAGTCTGCTCTTATTTTCCTGTTTGTCTTGGCCCAGTCACCGCCGGCCGCCCCAGTTCCTGCACTGGTCTCCTCCTTTTTTTTTTTACAGGCTGGATGGATGCCGTTCTTTGCCCGGCTCTGCTCTGAAGCATCTCTTCCTAAAAAGGCCAGGGGTGATCTCTGCTCTTGTGTGTTTATACAGCGAACTGAACACTGCAAGCTGTCATCTTCCCATTATCTATCATATGTGAGAAGTTTCAAATACTCCCAAGTTTCTTTTTGTGCTGTATGTTCACCATCCTGGGGTTCATCCGAGGATACAGCGGAAGTACAGTTGAGATCAGTATAAGCACTCCTCAAAGGAATGTCTGTTAATGGTTTTGGAAATGAGATCATGGATGCATCGCCTCTCTGGGATGCAGGGGGTCAGGAAGCAAGTTGATTTTATTAAAGAGAGAGTGGAAATAAATACAGAGTTTCTGATGCTCAGGGACAGCTCAGCTCCAAGACTGGAAGATGTTTTAAAAGGTTTTTGCTTTGCGTCCCCGCGGGACTTGTTTGGAATCGCTCCCATTTTCCCTCATCCATTTCAGCCTATTTGTGGAGGTTTCCAGCTGGAACACGAGTCCCCTGCCTGTTCTGCAGGTTGGCTTATTTACTGCAGTGTGTAAACACAGTGCACACACAAACTCAGAGTGAAACAAACAAATGTACAACTTTAAAAATCAGCTTGAAAATGAATACCATAGAATATATTTCACTTGGATTTTTTTTGCGGTTTATGTTTTTCCATCACCGTTATCTGTAGCCTGCAAACATTATTCGTGTGGGCATGTGTGCGTGTGCGCATGTATGCTTGAGTGACTGTTTTAGTGCCATTGTATGTATGTTTGTGTCTTCACTCAATCAGCCCTTTTCATGGCCTTTCAAATGGGGACGTCTCCTAAATCTGTCGTGCTGACGGAGCACAATGGGAGGCCCAGCGGAGTACTGGGAAGTGTTTCACAGCAACTTTTCTGGTGGCCTTGGTGTTGCTTCTGCATGCTCCACTGATGCAGCTCAGATTAACATATGTTTGTTCCCGCTCGCACCCTCCCTTCTTGTCCTTAAAGGGGAACGCAGATAAAATTTTGAATTCATATCGCTGTTCCGAGACAGGCCAAACTTCCTCCCCAAACCAAAACTGAAGGCATGCAAAGTGAGGCTTGAGATATATCGTTAGGGTTGAATCGGACGGAGGTCAACTGCACCTACAGAATACAATAGAATAGATAATTATCCACAGAAATCTCCCTCATTTAATTCATTTTACATGTAGCAGCTGTTAACATCCTAGATATGTTTTTTTGGCTTTATAACTATAGATATCACAGTTGAACACCACATGAGTAAGAGTAGTACTAGATTGTAAAGGACACAGTCAACAGATTTCTGTGCTGCTGTTTGCTCTCTTTGCTGTGGAATTTAATATCAGTGAGATTAGTTTTTACGACAATTACCGGTGCAAGAAAATGTGATTATATATATTAGTTTTTGCCTTATGAAACTACTACTACTTTTTATTAATGATGCAGTTCAAATATGGAGTCTGTATTTAAACAGATGACTAGAAGTTCACCACCTTCCTGTCTGGCTTCATTGTATCTCATTTCAATGTGTAACCCAACCATGGGAGTGCTAGCACTATTTCATTACCTGACTCCACTATTTCTACAGTAGAAGTTACAGCCAAGCCGGCCCTATAAAGAAATGTTCTCTGTGTGTAATATTACTTCAGTAATACACACAGGCTCTTTCATAATAAAACACCCTGCCTGCTGCAAGCTGACACTGCAGCAAACCACTGGCCCCGTTAGCAAACTCATCCACAACTAAAGCTTGAGTAGAAGTTACAGAGATTTTATATAACAGGAAATATAGCACACTGACATTGTTACACTACATACATAATACACAATAACTCAAAATCACATGTATAATTTGGGGTTTAAAACACTTTCTTAACTGCTCTGTATAAACGTCAGTAGTGATTTAACAGTCTGTGACATGTGATTATCTTTACCTGTCTGCAGACGGATGTTTAATGATATATTACACTGATTTATGTACAGTATACCTTCCAGGTGTCAGCTCCTTTCCTTGACAACTCTGTGTTGAGTATTTGCATTTCTGTGTTTCTCCTCCAGGCCTCTCCAGAAGAGGGCAGCGTAAGACAGAGCACCACCGCCTGTAAGTCATCTAACTCTGAGCTCATATAATGATTCAGTGGGCCTAATCATGAAACCATTGAGTAGTTATAAAGCTTTTGGTTTTTAGACTCACAAACACAATTGGTGCAGAATGTGTCAACCTCTTCCGTTCCTTCTCTTTGTTTCTACATTTCTTCCTCTGAATCAGGTAGTTTTGTATTTACTTTGTGATTAGCTGATAAGAATTCAGAGTTTCAGCCACATGGAAAAATGTCTCCTTGTCTTTGTGTGTGTATGTTTGTTTGTGTGTGTGTGTGTGTGTGTGTGTGTGTGATTGAAGTCCTACGAAATCCTCGGGCAGTCTGCGCTGTCAGGATCACGCCTCTGACAACCATGAAAGGCTCTCCTGACCTGATTCCTGCTGCAGGTGAGGTATCCCTCAGCCTCATCAATATTTCAGTGTCTACAACTGCGGTACACCTCACACTCAGAGAACTTAAAAGGATAATTTTAAAACTCTCTGGTTAACAAGTTCACGTTACTTATATACTGTGTACTTACATATACTTATACCTGTACTGTGCAGTCTGGCTCCATATAAATACTATATCAAGCCTATATTCCCCTTAAATTATACTTTTTTTTTTTTACACTTTTACACTTTTTTGGTTCTGTGATTATAGCAGGTTACACCTCCTGCTATAATCTTTGGGCAAATGTTTTAATATATATTTTTATTATAATGCTATTCATTAATCTGTGCAATTATATCTGTGCAAAGCTCTATCAACTACACCTATATATAAAAAAGTAGCATTTTTAAAATTTTATTCTTATTAAATATTTATTTGTTTCTTATCTATTGTGTTGTGTTGAATTTTGAGCTGCTGCAACAAGCAAATTTCCCCAGTGTGGGATCAATAAAATCTGTCTTGGCTTATCTTTAATAACCTGTGCTGACACAGGACAAGCTGCAGCTGCTCTACTTCCAGCTCTGACAGTGTGATCATGGCAATTAGTTTTACGGGACAGTAGGATATTAATTTAATGGCCTGGTTTTGATGTTACAGTTCTATTTTGGTCATTTGGGGCATGAGATTGCAATAACTTGGATTCCCAGCAGCTCTGAAGCAAGAGCGCACTGTGAGAATACCGAATGTTAAGACCGCTATGCCTTGAAAGATGAGGAGCTGTGGAAGTGAGACTGTTATTTTGGATGTTTTCAGATTTGAACCCCAGCAGAGTTTGCAAAGGCAAAGGAGTCGTGACTCTAAGGGCCACCCTCGTCCACATAGATGATGAGGGCTGCATCAGCGAAGAGCCAAATGTCATCACAACGCCAAGTGAGTCAGAGTGAATGCCACAGCTGTTTCATAACAACTCTGCACATGATGAAAAAATATTCATAGGACAGTAATAGTTGCATGGCCGTGTGAAAAAAAAGGACATGTCGCTGCAGAATGTGGACCGAGAATGTAAATGTTGCTGTAATTTAAAAAGCATTTCATCATCTTCTTTAGTTGTAAAAATTCCTCACATGCCTTTCAACGTTCTGTTTTGATCTCGGGATTATATAACTCATCACGTTTTGAAGCGTATGCTCAGTCGCCGGACACACTCAAAGTCGTGATAAAAGGGCGATTGCTCATATTTTCATGCGAGTCTCAAAGAGATGTTTTGTTGCGGCCTGCCCACGCTGCACTTTGGAGCCGGGGTGACTTGACTGTGGGCTTGTTTGTTACGTAGAGCACATTGGAAGCGGACTGGAGGCTGGCCAAGGCTTTTGGGGAGATGCTTTAATTGTTGTAGAGCCTGAATATAAAGGCCAGTGGAACAAACGGCCTTTGCAGCTCCCTGAATGGGCGCTTTGTTCTGATGACAAAGTTCAGAGATTGTGGGAGAATCTTTTTTTTTTTTTTTTCCCTTTCCTGACCATATTAACATCTCTGTGCATGAAAACCACTAAAGAAAGCATTCACGCCCTGTGGAATGAAATAGAGATTTATCTGATCTGTAATTAGCTGTTATGGTTTCCTGGTTTGCTGTTATAAGTTTCCTGTAATACTGAACTTTTTAGTATCATCCTCAGTGGTGTTTTTATTCTTGCTACGCTGGCTGCCAAACTGAGAGAGTTCTGGACTCTTTTTAGGTGGATGGACAAGCCAGATTAATGGAGACAGCTCTAAAGCAGGATTGGCTGAGGGAGGCAGCAACATCACAGCTGATTTACCTCCTGTAAACAACACTCAGTGCCAGGTACGTTTCCTTCCACCTCATTTAACACAGGCTCTTTGTTTGGCTCTTTGTGGTTTTACACTTATGAGCACTGTGTGATCTCTTTATTTGATTTCAGTGAAATTCATTGTTAACTTTTATGCGTTTTACTGTGAATTTTCTGTTACTTTCAGGTACATTTACCAGAAAGCATAAACGAAAATCAGGCTCCATCCTCCGCTGACATTCAGAACTACATCACGCCGACTTCCAGCTCTGTGTATCCCTGCACTAGCGCAGTTAACCCCACCATAGTCCTGCTGCAACACAACAGAGGTGAGCACTGCGCACTTAGGGCCGAACTTCCAAAAGCCTTTGTGTTTGCCGTGAACTGGCTTTTACATATCTGTGTGGCATTTTATCTTTAGAGCTTTATGGTAAAGTCTCAATTTTGTCTCATTAACCTTGTCTTTCTCTGTGTTACACCTAACCAGTGCTTTCACTTTTGCTTCATTGCTTAGTCACATTTCACTGTCCTGTCCTTGTGTGTCTTTCTCTCACAACAGAGCAGCAAAAGCATCTCTCTAATTTTGAAGGTACGCACTGAGGTCCTGGTGACGTGTGTAAGGGATATTTGTCATTTATTTTTCATGTCTCAAACTTTTTATTACAGAGCAATATTTGTCATCTGTCACCCTCCCACTCCCTTGATCGTTGACACAGTCGGCAAAATGTGTTCGCCGCAAGCGCTGTGAAGTGAATGAGTCATGTTTTTATGCGTCAATGTGTTCAAAATATTGGAAATGTTCCCTTAATGAGCAAGAATGTAGCAGACTATACAGAAACATCATGGATATGGGTTGTTTCTGCTTATTTTCCTGCAATTCACATTCATTTTCTTCCTATATTTAACTAATTCCAGACCTGCATCAAACCAGATTTGTATATTAAAACAATGCAACATAAAAGTAACCATCAGTGCCAGATTGAGATTTTTTACATTTTCTTTTTTCTATTTACTCTCATTATTGGTGACAAGTGTCACATGTGCTACGGAGTTTAGCATTGGGTCAACAGTTTGCATCATTGAATGATTTTATTGCCATGATATTAGGAAAAAAGAGTGGGAAATTTTTAAAGAATATATTTACAATATTCTCCCCATATTGTTACATTTTGGGGGAAATGCACAAATGTTTCTTTATATTTTACACAATAAATACAATACAACATTAATTATGTGAATGTATTAATATAGTTATATTCATTTCACTCCTCATTATTTTGTGGTATTTTGGTGTAAAATAATAATAATAGAACAGATGGTGAATTATAATGCAGAATCTTTATGTGTTGAGTGGCACAGAATATGTTTTGTGCAGGTTGACACACATTAATACACAGAATTAATTGCCAATAGTAATTGACCCAGGTCTCAGCGACACTACATGATGCAGCATTTATGTGCTTTTCTTGCTATGACATACAACGTTTGTAGAGGTTAAGGTCGGTTCTGTTTATTTCCTTCCATTTACTGTATGCTGCCCACTTTATCTGTATATCTTTCAACCCAACCTTCACACCAGATCCTTAACTTAAGCTCTTTTAATGATATCTGTCATTTCACTGCGGCTGAGTTGTGAACTTTTAGTTTTATCAGGCTTGCAGGTTTTTTGATGTTGTTATTTTTTTGTTACAGACCCAACCCCGGAAAGAGACAAAAGCCCCGATCCTGGGCGAGACTCAGTCAGTCCAGTCCCTGATATGGACTGGAAGAGGCTGCGGCTGTCACTGAACTCCCCCGTCCTCAATACTGTCAACAACCCCATTGTGCCTGTACGGGTGAGCAACAAAACCTCCTGTCAAATGAAGACTAATGTACTCACTGCAGCTGTTTAATGGGTGTTTTGTTCATATGATACACAGACCTTTAATGTTACACTGTTAATGTTTATATAAAACACTTTACTATACTTATTGTAACATAGTCTGTTGTTGATTAAGGCTGATTTGAGAAGGATTTTTGTCACTTTATTAGCAATAAACTGTTTTTGACTTGTCATAGCAGGTGAAGCACAGGTGTAACTAATCCATTTAGGTGCCAGCATGCACATCTTAATAGAATGCAGCCATTAAAGGTCCAGTGTGTTACGTTGAGGAGGATCTATTGGCAGAAATAACTATGTTTTCAGTAGCATATAATCTCCTGCTATGTTTCTACAGTAACCCAGAACAGACAAACCAAACACTAGCTTTAGAAAGGAGCATTTTTCAAATTTTTTTTCACAGCCCCCATAATTTTTCCTTTGTGCTTGGAAGAGTTGCGATCTGCAACTACACTGCTAGATGCCACTAAATCCAACACACTGGACCTTTAATGTTATTAGTCATATGGTGGGGTTGACAAGACAATACACCTGAATATCACCAGAGGTGCTTGAAAGGCACAAAGTTTATATATGTGTCTGTCATCCTCACTAGTTATCAATTACAATTCTCCACATCTCAATTTCAGAACACTGAAAAGTCCAAAGACTGGTACAAGACAATGTTCAAACAGATACACAAAATACCTGGTAAGAGAAAATCATCATTTCCACATGTTGTATGCCTGACCATGTTCCCATGTTGGTGTCCCTGTGTGTGTTTCTATATGTGTTTGTATGCTATGTCACGCTGTGCTCTGTCTCTCCATCACTGTGCTCAGAGCCTATTGAGGAAAACCCTTACCGCCCCACCTACATTTTCCCAGAGAACTATGACATTCAGATGAAATCAAAAGGTATCCGATGGCAGTGACTCCACTCTCGCTGGCTTTACTAATCTGCCGCCATCCTGGACCCTTTCAAATACTTTAGCTGTACTTTAATCCGTCATACCTGGCCCCCGTGGCGGCCGGTACAAAACCACACCTTGAAGATGCCAAAAGTATTTGAAAGGCTTTTATCTTTTTTCCGACGTCTGTTCCATACCATAGAGCCGCTGTTTCTGTCTCCATAAGTCTTACAGACACTGCAGGCTTCGTGCAGATTTCCTGATCTACAGTGACTCAGTTGTGCTGAGTCATTTTCAAGATGGATTTAATAGGCCTTTTTCACAGAAGACATTTTGACATGTCGCAGTAGGAAAAGCACAGATACAAATGATCAGTGATGGCTGAATTCCATTTAGCTGCTTCAGTTTCCAGTATTGTGCCTGCTGGCTCACTGTCACACATTCATGACTCAGTGGGAAACTTAAATAGAACAGAGACATCGTTAATGTTATTAGTGACATCTGTGCTTTTCCTACTATGACAAGTCAAAATGTGAGAAAGGCCTGTGGTCTGGTACAAATACAGTAAAAGGCACAAACAAACCGCTAGACCCGCTATCAAAAATCAACACATACACTCTTTAATTAAATGATTAATTATAAAAAATAAGGGGCAAAATTTTAAAAAAAGGGGGCAGTCCACTGATTTTACACATGGAAGGTCTAACAGCTCAAAGCTTTATATGTTATCTCAAATAGACCACATTACAAACTCCACATTACAAACTTTTGCACTATGGGAAATGTAGTAGCCAGTATGTTTGAAGTTTGACCCATACTAGAGACAAAAAGTTAGGATATCTCAGCTCTGCTGCATCAGTTTTTACATCTTTATGGTGCAGTACTAAACTATATGTTGTCACAAAAAGACTATGCATTGGGCCTTTAAAATCTTAATTTAAACCTGGTCAGCTCTAAATAGGTCCTACATAAGTACTTTGATATTGACATGTTGACAAGGATGATGCACGAAGCCTTGTAGTGTCATTCTACTCTAAGTACTCATGGCCTTTCTCTTTTCACTGTTAACCATCTAATATTAAAAAATCTAGACAAATATTTCATTATTGGTAAATGCTTATTCTAACAGAATTGTGGTCATACAGAAGAGCATGGGCAGTCTTTTGATGTAGTGTGCTATTGTAGCCACTAGATGCTGCTGCAGTCCTGTGCTGAGGCTACGGACTGTCTCGCCCTGCCTTCAGTCTCTCAGGCAGCACAACCTTCAGACTGTCCTGCTGTTAACAAGCTTGTGTAGATCGTTAGGTGTAGGTTCGTGGTTATAGTTATGAATCAAAGGCGATGATGTGTATGCAGCCTTAGAGAAAGAGCTGTCTGAATTCTTATTTTTCTTCTTTATTTGCAACATGTACATAAAGTAGGTTTCTCTCATCCTCAGCCTGATGTGATTACCTCCATGTGTAGTTATTTTGGCTGATATGATTCTGTAAATGTTTGTCTCACAGGAAATATACAACTTCCACAGAGACCTTTTCCAAATGTGTTGCTTAAGGTCTTTTTTTTTTTTACGATGCATTACTTATTCAGGGCCTTGACGCTTCATCGATGCTTGGATCCCTTTTTAGTTCAGTAATGCTTCCTGTAAAGTGCTTTGATTTGACACACTTTGATTGTATTTGGTGAACCTGTAAAGCTAAAGCCTAATGGAAGGTTAGAAGTAGGGATGAAAACGCAGGGAAAGAGTGTTTCTAATTCATTATGAATTATTTAGTTGTGTGCTATATTCATTACTTTTCAAGTAACAGAGCATATAAAAATAAAAAACTGCAATAAATGATTTTTGATTGTTGTTTTCCCCTCGTTCAGAAGATGGTCCGTCCCCCTTTGGTTACTTGAAAGATGGTGAGTGTTGGAGTTTGGATCAAACATTTATAAAGGAAATAATAACTGTATATCATCTATTGTTAGTTTTTATTGAGGTTAAGCCAGGGTAAGACTCAGCATTGCTCTTAAAAACACTGGTAACCTTTCACTCGATGCATTAATGCCGTTGAGTATCAGGCTGTTTATGTCTGTTGATATTTATGTGCCTGTTTTCAGTGAAAGCAGTCCCACGCTCAAAAAGTGACGCCGAGGTCGATTCAAGAGGCCGGTCGATGCCTGTGCCAACGCGGTCCTCTTCCCTCAAACCCTCTGCCAAAAGGTCAGTGTCCTCCTTCTGTGATATTTCACACAAAAGCTCAGTATTATTCATGTTTGTTAGTGAAGAAAGGAGCTGTTTACAACTTCAAACGCAAAGATATGAAGATATATAACTCACCATAAATAAAATTCTGACCAGGCAAAATCCTTTTAACAGGCAGTGTTCCCATGATATAAAACAATGGTATAATTATAGTCATCAAGATCATGTTCTCGCTGTATGACGCTGAAGTCACTTCTAGTTTGTCTTTAGTCACATACAGTGCAACTACTGTGACTAAACCTGACAAAAAATCTATTTCTTCTTTCTAAGTTTGCAAATCTGAGCTCATTTTGTCGTCACTGGCTTCCACTATTGTCTCGAGGCGTGATTAGTCTTACCCATAGACACACGTCAGCACTGACTCAGGAGGATCTGCTTCCAGAGAAGTGAGTGATAGAGTGATGAAGGAGGACAGGTGATGGAGGATAAACAGTTGCTCACTAGAGCTGCAGATGACATGTGTGAGGACTGACCTTCCTCTTTCCTCAGTGGTTACGTATGAAGGGACGCATTCCTCAACGCCTCCACCTCCACTTTTAAAAAAACTCTTAGAAAGAATTTCATTACAGAAAAAGTGTTTTTTTTTATTGTGTGTGTGTGTGTGTGTGTTGGGAATATGTGTAAGATTGAGTATTTCTTATGTAAGAGTCTTTTCTCAGCTGTAATTTTACAGTTAGCTGCTTATTAAGAAATCCTCCCAGGAAATGCCGCGCTCTGTTTTTTGTCACCGGGTCCAATCTTGTTTACCTGATCGAATTACTGATTTTGCTCAAGCATGAATTGGATTTTCTGTCATATCATCATTAGAGGAAGAGAGAGGGACAGGAGGGGAGAGAGAGGGAGAGAGAGAGAGAGAGAGCAGGGAGAGAGCAGGGATAATGAGGGCGGACGTCATGTTTAAATTAGAAAAAAAAAACATCTTAGCCTATGGCGGTTGCCATGGAGACTACTTGATAAGGATTGGCTCTCTTCCATCCCCACACCCCACCCCTCCCTGACACCCGCCTCTCCCGCCACAGGAACGAGTGGGAGCCCCCGGATAAAAAGGTAGACACCAGGAAGTACCGCGCCGAGCCCAAGAGCATCTTTGAGTACGAGCCGGGGAAATCGTCGGTGCTGAAGCTGGAGAGAACGGTATGCTAGCCGCCTTGCCTGCTTGCCCCCCCAGCCCTCTCTCTCTCTCTCTTTCTTCCTTCCTGTGTGCATGTTGTGTAAGCTGTCCCCCACTCCACCCAATCATCCACTCCCTCCTCTCCTCTCCTCCCTCCCACCCAACCACCACCTCTGTATCTAAGCTCCCCGGGTGGCAGCTTCACTAACAGCTCAGAAGGCGACGTATGTGTAGCCTGAACCGCCATGTGCACCACATTCCTTAAGGGTGTCCCGTTGCGGTGACAGATGATCCTGCTTGGAAGCTGGTGGGTGGGGGGGGGTATCACTTACAAGGATAGCCATTGTCTTCCTGTGTTCAATTTAAGGTTATTGGGCTAAATCGGCTTGGTGCGAGAGGATCCCAGCGCAGACACAAAACATGGATGCTATGTGTGTTTTCTTGAGAGGAGAGTGTAATGCTCTTTACCCTCACTTTCGTCTCTTAGCCTTAACAGTTTGTGCTGAATCAAATGATGCGGCATTATTCAGTGTCCTTGAGGGCTGTCTCTTTTGAGGATAAGCTTTGTTACATATTATAGATAAATGGCAGCTGCTGCCTAGATCCACCGTGTAATATTCACCAAAGGAGAACACAAAGATTTCTAAGGTCTGAAGCCTTGTTTACATTTTCTCCTTTTACATAATATGAGGACATGGAGGTGTTCAGTATTGTTAGTAAGTAGTTAGTTGATTATATAATTATTGTTTGTCTGATGCTCACTTACATCAAGGCCAGTAGATGTCGTTAGCAGAGATCTGGCCTCATCCCAGTGGCAACAAACACACTCATTAGAGAGAGTTCGCTCCAGTTCATCCTGGGACCGGAGTAAAATAATGGACTCTTTCAATTACAAGCTCAGTTATTATGGGTCAGTGTTCTTGTCGCTGTTGCTGGTCATTTTCTACATTGGGTCCATTCTTCTTATTCTCTGGTGCTTAAAGTTGTGTTGGACGCTTACATAGACTTTCTTAAAGATTATTTTTATTATTATTTTATTTATTTTATTACATCTCAAAAAATTGAGTTTGCATGCTTTGTTGGTCTACATCGGTCCAGTATGTGTCTGTGTAGCACTTTTTGGGTAAAAGAAGGATGGGTTCAGTTTTTTTTCCCTGTCCATTTTAAAGATCCAGTGTGTAACATTTGGGAGAATCTATTGGCAGGTCGCCCTCCATGGAGTAGCCCACAACGGCCAACCAAACACTGGCCACCGTAGTTTCTCCTACACACTTTACAGCCCGTTCTCATTCACCAAATACAGACGCGAGTGGTGTCCAGTTAGTTGCAATCTGCAACT